ACATTTATCTTATTTCTATATGGTTTACTTCGTTCGCAATTTAGTCATCTGCTGTGTCAAACGGGTATTAATATTTCTTAAGTAAATAGTGATATGTTTTGCTATGCGTTGCCGCCTTCTTCTTGTCCTTTTCATTTATTTCACGTGTAATATATGTATACATGCGCACACGAATGCGAACACACACACACACACACACACACACACACACACATACACACACACACACACACACACACACACACACACACACACACACACACACACACAAATAATCCCCAACCCATCAACCCCTCATCCAACCCCCTCTCCTTCCATCCACACACCCAAACCCCCCCTCACCCCCAGGTCACGGCAGTCCACCTCTACCCAGCGTACGAGTCGGGTGACAGGCCCTCCCGTGACATCGCCCTCGTCAGACTGGAGCAGCCTGCGTCGTTCTCCCGAAAGCTGGTTCCCGCGTGCGTCCTGACGGGGTCTTTCCCGAGGCATGACGTGGCCGCGGTAAGTGCTTGCGGCTGTGGGAGGGGCTGGTATTGGGGGAGAGGGGAGGATATGAACGTTATCATTATCATCACTCTCATTAGGAATGTGGTTATTATTAACGTGAGAATCGTCGTTATCATCATTATCATAATAATAATGATGGTGATAATACTAAATGATGGCCAAGATACATATAACCAGGTAGCTCCACTTCCATTTAGTCTAATGAACCCATATGTGCTTTTCCCCAACACTATTCTGTTACTGGCAAGGAACTCTTTCTTATTATGGATTTTACTTTTGGTAATTATAATAATATCGAGTACATTATAGAAAAAAAGTATGTCAATTTATATCTATCTCACGGTGTACTCCCATTTGCAAAACGTGACGCCATTAGCTCCGCCCTTCTTGACCCCGACAGTTTGTACGATATCTTATGATAAGTGCTATTTCAGTACCTTTTCACTGAAAAAAGGTTCAGTAAAAACATGGGTAAAAAGGAAACCACCAATATCGAAATCTAGACAAACAAAGGGGGAAAATGCAATGAATAAAGGCGATGAAGCGGGGCATAATAATAATAACAACAATGTTAAGAATAATAATGATATTACAATAATGATAAACAGTCATCATCATCATTACTATGATAGTGATACTGATAATAATGACTGTAAAAATTAACTGAAATGATGTCAGTATTGGTAAAACACGAAAATAATAACAAGCATGACCATGACTTTAACGAAAACAAAAGAGCAGAGATTTAAACGATCCGATCTCCTTCCCAGACCTTCAACCGCACAGTCGCACGCTACACATGGGAGATGATACTACAAGAGCACGATCCGCGCTGCCATTCGCCACACGACCGCTGTGCCTCGACGCTCACGGTCGACAGAGACCAATTTTGTGGCATTGACAAAGGTGAGAACAGAGAGGTTATGTGTACTGTAGGTGTGTGTGTGTGTGTGTGTGTGTGTGTGTGTGTGTGTGTGTGTGTGTGTGTGTGTGTGTGTGTGTGTGTGTGTGTGTGTGATTGATTGACTGATGGGTGTGGATGTGTGTAGACATAAAGACGTAAATATTTCTACATACAATATATGACTGTATGCATGTATGGACAGAGAGCGATACTGAGAGATAGAAAGTGTAACAGAAACACCTTTCTTTCCCAGAATACCGGAGGTACCTACCCGAGGGTTCCTCCGGCGGCCCGTACCTCGTGAACCTGGGCACCGACGCAGACGAAAAGTGGACGGTGGCCGGCGTCGTGTCCTCTTCCTACGGCGGGGCCTCCTGCAGCCGACCGTACACCATCTTCACGACCGTAGGGAATTACTGGCCATGGATCGAGCGATGTGTCTATCTCGGAAATTGTTCTCAGCCTTTGGAGGACGATGGGGAATGAAATCTAATTATTCTCATCTGATAAGGACTAAGAATGCAAGGGGGTAATATTGTTCGTTGCTCTTTTAAGGCCTGATGGACATGCTATGCAAACGTGTTATTTAACATTTCGGAACATTGCTATTGACATGCATGCAGACGTGTTTGAAGATCCGTTTGGACGGTGGCACCCGGAAGCATGTTCGAGATATGTGTGGACGATGCTCGGGCGAAGCACTTCTTATCGTATGGCTTATTTAGAAGAATGTGTGTATCATGTTTCAGACATGTTACCAGCAGTGTTTTACGCTGTGTGTACAAGGCCCATGGTTCTGTACACACGATCGAGTAGTTGGCGCACCTTTGGCTTGTGTCAGCGGGCAAATCAAGACAGTGCCGGAGTGAAGTCATTGCAACAGTGGCAAATTGTGTAAGGAAGTTCATATGGACCCTAAGAAGCGTTTCTGTCTGCTACTTGATTTATGCAATTACCAAATGCCAACATATTCCGCCACCAACTAAAGTGCACTTGTCTAGCCTCGAGATCCTCACTGTTGTGCGGATTAGAACTCGTACTACTTACGCACTCGTCTGGCATCTCTTCACGCCCCTTTCAGCACTG